TCATTCATTCAACAAATGATTATTAAGCACTACTCACTAGGCATTGAGGTTACAGTAGTCTTCACTATCAAAATAATTTAAAATTGTAGTTTCTAATTCTATTCACTAATGTAATTTTCTATGTCAGAAAGAACTATAATTGCAATTATATTTTTTTCAAGGGGATTTACCTGGTGGTCTAGTGGCTAAAACACCATGTTCCCAATGCTGGGGGCCCAGTTCAATTCCTGGTCAGGGAACGAGATCCCACATGCCACCAACAAGGAGTTTGCATGCCTCAACTAAAGGTCCTTTGCACAGCCAAATATATAAATAATAATTTTCTTAAAAAGAGGGTTTCCCTGGTGCCTTAGTGGTAAAGGATCTGCCTACCAGTGCAGGACACACATGTTCAATCCCTCGTCTAGGAAGATCCTGCATGCAGCAAAGCAATTAAGCCCATGTGCCACAACTACTGAGCCTGTGTGCTAGAGCCCAGGAGCTGCAACTACTGAGGCTCGAATGCTCTAGAGCCTGTGATTTGCAGCAAAGGAAGCCACTGCTATGGGAAGCCTGTGCACCACAACTAGAAGCACCCCAGCTCATTGCAACTGGAGGAAAGCCTGCCCAGCAACAAAGACCCAGCACAGCCAAAGACTGAGAGCAAATAAATACAAAGAAGTTTTTTCAAGCATCTTATAAACTCCCTAACCAGCATTATTTTTGTAAACACTTTTAGAAACTTTTAAAATATTTCATGAATATGTTTAAAAGTTAAAAGAGCAATAGAATTTTCTAAATACATGACTATTCTAAATTTTGATTTAAAATATGCATTTGCATTTTAACTTCTGGCCAAGAAAATGTTTGTGATTTGTATTGAAAGAGGCAGCACAATGACTTATACTTTTCAAAGGTAATTGCCTTTATGCGCGATTCTATGCGAGAACTTCCTTTGTGGCTTGGATGGTAAAGAATCTGCCTACAATACGGGAGACCCAGGTTCGATCCCTGGGCCAGGAAGATCCCTTGGAGAAGGGAATGGTAACCCACTCCAGTATTCTTGCCTGGAGAATTCCATGGACAGAGGAACCTGGCAGGCTGCAATCCATAGGGTTGCAAAGGGTCGGACACGACTAAGCAACTAACGTTTTCTTTAAGAGAAGAAATGATGCTCAGAAAGTCAGGCTCATATTGCCTGAATTAAGAAGCTTGTTTTGTATTAGCACTTGGAAGATAAACACTAGCAGCAACCAAAGGAGGTGGCATTCACTGGATGTCATCTGACCTTGAGTGGGTGGACAGAAAGAAACAAAACTGCTAAGAAGCAGAGGCAAGTAAACCTTTGTGCCTGAAATACACACGTTTCCCATCATAATATCACCCCCACTTTTCTGCTTTGGTAGATAAATAGACATTCTATTTATTCTTCCCAGGAATATGACATTTGTAGGATATTATTTTCCTTTAGATAGTTTTCAGTAGGATGTGAGAGAGGGTCTCTGTACAGACAAACATACCAGGTATCTAATAACTCTTTGGATAATTTAATATAGCCCCACCCAACATTCGTCATGGCCAGAGACTGTCATTTGACAAAGCTACAATATTATCAGCATCTCTGTTCTTGTCACTATGCTGTATTCTGCTAATGTCTGTGGTACTTTGCTGGCCCGGGAGAGTATGCTAAATATTAGGAATAACTCAATGCTCCATATTCATTTTGACAAATGAAATACAGTCCTGGAGGGAACAATGGACCATTTTCTGTTCCATCTTCTGGGCCATTATTGAAAGCATGGTGCACAGAATCCCAATTACATTTCTTTTTCCTTTGCTAGAAATGGCATAAATTGCCAATCTCCCTTCTAAAATTCAAAACTAATCCAACAATTAAAATGTATCTCTGTTTAGAAAATATTAGAGCCTAGTTGCTCAGCTTTTTTTACTTCAAAGCTGAAACAATGTATTTTCAAACAGCATTCTCTTTAGAGGAGATTTTTGTAAGCTTGCTTTGATTCTTTGCCTTTGATTCTTTGAATGCTCAGTTGGTTCCTGGTAGGGTTATTTTAGTTTGTTTAGTAAAGCTTACATTAGGATTTTTTCAGTGTAGGTTAAAAAGTTCTAGTTAATTAAATCACATCAATCAATTGCATCCATCTCAATTACTTTTTGAGATGTGATATAGTAATAACTGTTCCTTTTAAAAACTATATTAAATGGGTCATGAGTGAAGGCTAAACCACTTGAAACATGACCAAGTGAGGAAAATTTACCTCTGGAAGGGGTCTAAAGGATAGAGAGATTTTTCTTCATAAATACTGGTTAGGTTCTTTGGTGGAGAGTATTAAAATATAAAGTTACAGAAGCCTAATTCACATGTGGTGGGGGTGTTCTGAATTTTTCATCTGATTTGAATGGGAACACAGGTAATTTTTATCACCCAGGTCTTCACTTTTGCCAAAAGTGAAAGAAAAACCACTTTCTCACATGGGAGAAAACCACAGTGTAAGTCAGGAAAAAGAAAAAAGTAGCTGAATAATCAATTTCCATTGTGTAAGTTGTAATGAGATTCTCTGTTTTTATAATAGACACCACATAACATAAAATGAATGGAAGAGAAATTGCCAAGGATCTCAGAAAATATAAAATGAAAAAAAGCCACTTGAAAACTTGCCTAATGTATCTCCCAGGACTGAAGCAACTATAACTATTTTAAGTCTGCCCTTCTGATCCCACTTTCCTTCTAGTGAGTCAATAGAATTCAATAATCAAATGCTTCAAAGGATGGCAAAAGGTCTGATATAATTCACAAGGAAATGATTGGAGTTACTGCTAGGGGAAGGCAGAAACTTTAGGGACATCTTTATTGAGTCTAGATTTGATTCAAAACCAGAGGAAAGTCATAAAAGCATCAGGCAAAGAAGACAATTGAATGTTTGTCCTTCCTATAGAGACAGTTCAGTTCAGTTACTCAGTGGAGTCCAACTCTTTGTGACCCCATGGACCACAGCCCGCCAGGCTTCCCTGTCCATCGCCAACTCCAAAAACTTGCTCAAACTCATGTCCATTGAGTCGGTGATGCTATCCAACCATCTCATCCTCTGTTGTCCCCTTTTCCTCCTGCCTTCAATCTTTCCCAGCATCAGGATCTCCTCAAATAAGTCAGTTCTTCACATCAGGTGGCCAAAATATTGGAGTTTCAGCTTCAGCATCAGTCCTTCCAATGCAGATTCAGGACTGATTTCCTTTAGGATGGACTGGTTGGATCTCCTTGCAGTCCAAGGGACTCTCAAGAGTTTTCTCCAACACCACAGTTCAAAAGCATCAATTCTTTAGTGCTCAGCTTTAATGTCTCTGCTTTTTAATATACCGTTTAAGTTTGTCATAACTTTTCTTCCAAGGAGCAAGCGTCTTTTAATTTCATGGCTGCAATCACCATCTGCAGTGATTTTGGAGATCAAAAAAAAGAAGTCTGTCACTATTTCCACGGTTTCCCCATCTATTTGCCATGAAGCGATAGGACCAGATGCCAT